TCAGACGGAGACGAGTATCATGAGGCTGTTAGTTATCCAGAGGAAATTAGGAGCCATTTGTCTGCGAATTACCGAATACGAAATCAGTCGCCAATCGGCTTTGCCAGTCATACACTAATGATCAAAATGATTTACTGCGGTGTTGCAGGACGTAGTGGGTATTCGCCTGGCAAGAGGTCTCTTTATAAAAAGCCACAAATATCTGCTTAACAATACTGTGACGTGGTGGATGTGATTCGCCACTGAATAAAGTCACTGCCCACAAGTACTTACTGGCAAGTCCATTAGACTCACATCTCAGCTCTTCCCGACACATGCAAGAATATGTTACCCTCCGTCTACAGGCACTGATACATTGCACTTATAGTGCCTTGACCGTTTCAACTACACACGATTGAACCCGAAGTATCGTCGTGAGACACGACTGCCTTTAAACCTTGATCACGCCTGATTTGGTGTGTCTCAAGGAATTTGAGAATAAAATATTTATTTATATGTCCAATGTGCTACTGTCACTGTTTCAGTTAACATAATATGTCTGTACAGTTGAACATACCTGATCATAACTCCACGGGCGTGTCTCGCATAGTCGAGAATAAAATATTTATTTATTTATTTAGCCAATGGCAGCCGATGTCTTGGTTTGAGACCTATAGGCTTTTGGAGCCTCAGAGACAGGACTGGCCCAAAAATTTTAAGTTTGAGGCACCGCAGCATAGGTTATCTAGGGAGGAGTGGGATTTTGGCTGACGCCATGGGTACCTAGGCCACTAATGAATAGTTGCCATATGGGCCAGAAGAGGTGTCGAATCCAATAGACACAGAGTGGGGTTAAACGTGGGGGTGGATGAGATGAAAATTTACAAGTGGTTATAATCTGGTGCTGATGGAATAATGGGGACATCGGTCCGATAGACGGGAGGTGTAAATATTACAGGGCACGGTGTAGTCAAACAGTGTTAGTAGAGTAGAGTCATTTAGGGTATGGAATAGGCAATGATGATGAGGAAGATGTAAAACCACGGCGTTCGAGAAAGAACAGTAAGTGAAATATTTGGGTCAAAGAGATGGAATTCTTGAGGCAGCCACGTTTAGGTGGAGATAGGAAAGCCAAAAAGAGCAGACATGCGAAATATAAGGTATCAGAAACAGCTGTGATGCGAGGTTAAAAGGAAGTCGAAGAGTGTTAGAAATAAAGAATAAAAACGGGGATGTAAGCTTATTCGCTAGAGGTTGTTTGGTCCCATAGCTCTCATAGCTCGGTTTCCAGAACTTTGAGGCTTAAGAGTTCGGAAACTGTTTTTACGTCGAGGAATCTTATAGCCTTGTTGAAGTGTGTACTGGTCACAGATGATTGGATTTGCGGAGGTAAATTGTTCCGTGTGTCTGCGTATCTATAAAGGAGGAACTTGTGGCGTATGCCGCAAAGAGCTGCAGGCAGACTGAATGAATAAATCGCGTCACGTAGATGATATCGGGTATCCCCTGCCTTTCGGAAGTTTCGCGTCAGGTTCATTTCCGGCTTTTGTTTAAGCTTGTATAGAAACGTAAGTTTTTTCTTCAACCTCCGTAATCACAGCGGTCCGATCCCAGTTGTTTGCATTGACTACGGTAGTTCAGCATTTCTGAGCCTAGTGGACGCTTGGTGAAGGAACCCTGTACGTTCACCAGTGCAATCCTGTCGCACTTGCGTGAGTTCGTAAGGACTATACAGCAGAATCCAAGAATAGTCCTAGCGCAAGTTTCGTACAGTGTTAGTCGCGATTCTAAAAGCGAGATTGATAATGATATAAATAAAATAATAATACGTCAGCTGTACGCCGTAACGGCGCTTCGTTGCCGCGCGACCACCACCAGTCGCGCGCAGGCTGAGTATACTGCGAGGACGCTCACTCATACGCGCCTTCGCTCCGGTGAACTTATGGTTGCAAAGCAAAAGTGTAGAACACTCGGCCACCGGCCGACACAGAAATAGACTACTAACGACCTAGCTTAAGCTGCACTATAGCAACGTAGAAGGAACTAGAGTATTGAACCCTTTAAATCACGAACAAATTGGCTGACGGTAAGAGGAGCGCCACTGAGAGTAAGGGTATTCGGTGGCCCAGTGCATCTATAAGAGAGAATGCTGCTTTCTCCTGGAGAAAATTCGTGGTTCCATATTGCGCACCAGTTTTCTAGCGCCTTAAAGTCTCTTTGTATTGTGGATACATTATCTCTCATATTAGCGGAGACGAAGGATAATACGACTCTGATGTCTTCCGCGATTAGGTATGGCATTCCCCAGCGAAAGACTTGGAAGATGTAATTGACGTAGAGTAAGAAGAGCAAGGGGCCCGGGACACTTCACTGAACGACTCCACTGGTGACCGCTTTTCTGGAAGACGTCGTGCCGCCAAGGCACACCGAGTGTGTTCGATTTGCTAAGTGGGAAGCAAACCAGACGAGCAGCTACCCGGCGACACCAAAAGAGACGTAGTTGAGGCATCCTCCGCCCAGTCGCTTATTGCGTCCACTGCAGAATGAAGAGTAGCCAGGTATTTGGATGAGTGAGCCAGACGAACCGGCTGAGTGCCAAGTCGCTGTGCTTAGAACCAGTTGTGCTCTGGACATAATAACAAGCAGACCCAGAAGGGGATTCTTTTGATTACTAGATCTGGCATTGATGAGAAGCATCTTACGGATTCCCGGCTTACCAGATACGTCGAAGTTGGAGGTATTAATAAATAAATAAATAAATAAATAAATATTTTATTCTCGACTATGCGAGGCACGCTCATGGAGGCATGATCAGATATGTACAACGGTACAAACATTATAATGCAATTGTAACAGTAACGCAGAAAATTGTTCATATATCCATGATTGGAACTGTACAATGTTGAAAATGCGAAACAATAAGTTGGCTGTCATGAGATACGAGACCTCAGCTAATAAGAGATTGAGAAACCTGAATGATCCACTGAAAGGTAATGGAAGAGCCCGCACACAAGGAAGGAAAAGGGCAACGTATGGTAGGATGTAAAACGACAACAGTATATACAGATGTAGAAGTCCCAGTGTAACGATCCTATGTAGAATTGTGACGCTAGTTGACCTGCCAGTGTAAAGTTATGGGCTGTGACTTTATTCGGTGGCGAGTCACATACGCCACGTTGCAGTGTTGTTAAACGGACATTTGTGGCTTTTTGTAGGGAGAACGCTTGCCAGGCGAAAACCCACCACGTCCTGGAACACTGTTGGGGCATACATTTATGGATAGATATTGGTTGATTTACTGAAATTGAGTAAACAGCGTAACAGCAGCACAGGAGATCCAGAATGTGATAAGGGGCTTGTTTGCATGCACGCGTGGAGATGCATGCCGGGTAGGTCGGTGGAAAGCAATGGGAGAGAATGGTAGTAGTATGGAGCAGGATATCTTCTAAAGTCATCGAAGCATGTATAATATAAACAGCGATGCATCAGCGCCCTTCTGATTGGGATATTCGAGTCGCCCGTATGAATTAGCAACTTGCAAAAGCTGGGCGGAAGCAGTACAAAACTGCCATCCAATAGGCGTCTTTCTCCGAAATTACAAGGCATTTACATAGGTACCGCGTTTGACGATCGCGAAAGCTACATCCTACGGGGCACCTGGCAAATCCATGAAGCTGAACAAACCGCGGTCTAAGCTGATTAGAGCGGAAATCCAGCTGTCACGCCGATTAATCGAGCGCTGGAACATGCTTCCGGAAAGTGGCATCAGGAAATCTACGGTCAATGTGTTTCGGCGGCAACTTGACGCTGTTGGGTGTCAACACGAACCGTTTCCATTTACCTGAGTAACTCGCATTTTTGTGCTACGAGTTTAGTCTTTCCACATTTCTTCATGCATTGGTATTATACACTTATTTCATGTAAACTTTCTTGTTCTGCACCTTCGATTTATCTTCCTATCCTTTGCTCACTCCATGTGACTGCCACAGCGGGGCCTGTCAAGGCAGGAAAGGTGGGCATTAACTGGTTGATCAGTGTGCGATCCGGGTGTTCCGATTGCGAACCATCAATAACTCTGCGCGCTTCATCAATTCCTAGCTGAACAATCCACTCAAGACGGAACACTGAGGGAGTATCTTATCGTTCCATTTTTACCCCAACTTGAACTTGATGATGGTTAATCAAAGCAGACAGCATTCGTATGGACGTCACTATAACCACCAGAGTGGTCAATGATTGGAACGGCCTACCGGAGGAAATTGTATACGCGCTATCCAAGGAAAATTTCGAAGCGAATGCTAGATTCACTGAGAATACTGGGATCTAGCGGCTCTCCCTACAATTGATTTGAACCCTTGCTGAAGATTGTAACGGAACGACACACCTCATGTCCAAGATGAAACGGAAGCGATGGAGCAGACAAGGGTTTTCCGTTCCGCTTTCTTCAAATCAATGAACCTTTTTATAACTGTGACCTTGATTTGCCCGCCGCAAATAATCCTAATTTCGCTTTCCGTGTTAAAGGGACTGTCCGCTTACACAGTGGCGGGTTCACTTGAATTTTCGTTGCGCCAATTTCTGCAGTACAGCATTCAGGTTAAATGATAAATCATCAGGAAATGAAAACTAACTGGTTTGTAGTAGCTTAATGTACAAGGACCTTATTGTGATCCTTTTTGACCGTAAATTAGTTGATGTACTCCTGTGCACAAAACCCTATGCACCTTCCCTTTGAGAAAAATAAATATTAAATACTACAAGGCTGTATGCCAGCGAATACTTTCTACAAATGTTGGAGAACCTCTTCAACTGCTAAGTCAATTTGGCACTGCAGCACGTCCGCCCGACGAGCGGTGTTTCGACGTGAAATCGGACGCCCCCTGTTATATCTTGCGTTTCTTTATCCAGCATTGTTGTTTTCCGTTAATGACTCAGTTTATTAAACTTCTTGTCTAGGTATACACTTCTGGATCTCTGCATTTTTTAGAGCTTACAAACTAATATTTAAGCCAGGTGATCACATAATTTCGTCATCAGTCGCATCAAACTTTGCAGATTACAATTGCAGTTGTGTATAGAAGCCCGGGAGCCTATGCAAAGGTGCTTGAATTTATTCGCTCATAGTCCGAAAGCAGGTGTTTGGTTATGGAATACTTTAACCTCCCGGAGGTTTTCTGGGCAGATCTTTCTTGCACTTCAGCGTCAGACTCATTCGGCCCTGATCTACGGGAGCTTGCGTTACAGGTACCGTGGCATCAGTTTGTTGACCACCACCCTAAGTATAAGGAACCCAAGTACCGTCTACCTTAAACCTTGTGTTTGCTAAGTTACTCAATTAAGTTGGTGAGATTACTTACTGACACCTCCGGGTTCTAGTGATCATGTCTGTTTGTTCTTCAATTGTACTCTGTCTAGACGCTATCAGAGTACTGTTGAGTCTCGCCCGAACATATAACACGCAGACTAGCAATCAATGAGAGTCAAGGCTTCGGGTTTCCATTGTGAGCTCTCAGGCGATGATACTGTCTAGGTTGTCTGGGATAAATTTAACTCCAAAACCTGCATCTTAGTCGCATGGTGAAAGGAGACACGAGCACAGTCGCCCTGGATAGATTCCACTGGCAGATATCTGCTCACCAAGTGGTCTGAATGTTGGCGGACTTGCCGATATGCTCCGTCCACTGATAAATATGGCGGGTACTGTAAGGCCAGCAATAGGTGTAAGCAACACCTAAGGAACGCTCGGCCCAAAATCGAGAAAGAGTTAGCAGACGAAGCTTCAGAGAAACCAAGAAGAGTATCCGCAGATGCCATTCGGCGCTGCGGTGCGTTCACGTGAATCCCAGTGTTGATGCACGATGACGGTATCCATGCTCCTACGGACTATGACAAGGTTTGCTACGGTGTTTTAGAGATTGCTTGACAGCTGTGCATCACCTTCCGAATGGAAGGAAGCTGGCATCTGTTTCATTTTCAACAATGGGACAAGAGACCGCCTGCAAAGTACCGGCTCATTAACCTAAGGAGTTTAATAGTGAAACTTCTCGAGGATCTTGTGCAGGATTCATTATAGAGTCATCTATGCATGTTTGATATAATTAGCGATGCATAAGCTGGATTCTGAGTGGGATTTTCGTGTCTGCCGTAGGATTTGGTATCTTGCGAAAGCTGGGCGGAAGCAGTGCATAACTACCATACACTGGACGTGCTTGTCGTCAACTTTTCGAAGTCATTTGACTGTGTACCGCATTTGACGCTCGCGAAACCTACCTCCTACGAGCTGTCTGGCTACGCACATCATTTTTTGACGGCCTTGCCTAGTAGAACGGTATATACACGTTGGCCGTGGCCGATCATTTAGGCAGTCTTCTCAGTGGCGTGCCACGGGGCTCGGTCCTTGGACCGCTGCTTTTCTCTATCAGTATGAATGACCTGCCTTCGGAGCTTGAGGCACCATCGCTGCTATTTGCTATGGACCTGAATCTGTGCAATATTGCAATGTTCTTAGGGGTCCCGACGTTATTCAGCGAGTTTTGGATAAGCTATGTGCCTGGTCCAATTTATGGGTATTGCCAATAAATCAGGCAAGTGCTCCGTTCTTTGGATTGGAGGAGGTTGTTCTCCTGCGAAGTACTTGGTCATTGGTGTCAAACTCACCCGGGTATCTAGCCAGGTTGACCTAAGCGTCGTACAGGCTTTGACTTTACACTCCGACGACAACTGGAAGAAGGCCGCAATCAGAAGATTCCGGATGTTGTGGTTAATATGCCGCTCTTTCAGAATCTTGACCGGCGGCATCTTTGCGAGACTATTCGCGGCTTTCGTTCGGCCTCATCTAGAATACTGCGTTCACGTTTGTCTGCCCAGACTCGTCCGGGACTAAATGGATATAGAGAGAGTTTTGCGGGTAGATACTAGGTTAGTTAAGGGATTACGGGGACGGACGTTCCCCAAGCGTCTACTTAGTTTGTGAATGCATTCAATACACTACCCAAGGCGTATAAGGGACTTAATCCCAACCTACCGTATCTTAACTGGGAAGGTTGGTCCAGATGTACCTTGGCAATTCAGTCCCGCTAGATTGTCCGTTCTACGCGATCATTCCATGAAGCTGAACAAACCGCGGTCTGAGCTGATTAGAGCGGAAATCCAGCTGTCACGCCGATTCATCGAGCGCTGAAACATGCTTCCGGAAAGTGTCATCAGGAAATCTACGGTCAATGTGTTTCAGCGGCAACTTGACGCTGTTGGGTGTCAACACAAACCGTTTCCAATTACCTGAGTAACTCGCATCTTTGTGCTACGAGTTTAGTCTCTCCACATTTCTTCATGCATTGGTATTATACACTTATTTCATGTAAACTTTCTTGTTCTGCACCTTCGATTTATCTTCCTATCCTTTGCTCACTCCATGTGACTGCCACAGCGGGGCATGTCAAGGCAGGAAAGGTGGGCATTAACTGGTTGATCAGTGTGCGATCCGGGTGTTCCGTTTGCGAACCATCAATAACTCTGCGCGCTTCATCAATTCCTAGCTGAACAATCCACAAGATGGAACACTTTGGGAATCTCCTATCATTCCAGTCCTACTTGAACTTGAATTTTCATTTAGGTTATGGCATTTTTGTGATTGGGATGGGAACGTTTTTCAGCTCAATCTTTTCTGAGTAATCTTGTGTTTGGCTGCTTGTCGCTGCGTTAATACGTTCCTCGGTGGTTCGTTGCAGTTACAGTAATTGCCGCATTATCCCATCGTTTTGAGCTTATGCTTGCCTAGCAGCGGCTTGAAACTTTCCTTGGATATTTCGTCCACAGTTTTCTTCTGCAGGCCATTCCAGTACTTAACTACCCTTGTGGTGAAATTGAAATTCATGCGAATTAGTTCTCTTCTTTGTGTAAACAACTTCCATGTGTGACTTCTTCTGGAACAGTCACTGGGTTGATAACATGTCTTTGTTCATCTGTAAACCACGAACTGTCGTCATCAAATTACTCGTTAATTTTGACTGTGTGGTATTTTATTCCGCCTACTAAGACAGTTGTAGTCTGGTTAAAATTTCATGTAATGCATACTAAGTAATATATATCATGCACAGCTGACGTTGCCCTTTTTATTGTCCCTTCTTAGTTTTTTAACCTTTTTTTGTTTTTTGACATTGAGGAAGTGTAGTTGTACCTTAACAGTGTCGCTTAATCTGATGGTTCTTGATAACTGAGGATTGGTGTATAACTTATTCACGGCGCATGAACAAAGCGCTTTTTTGCAATCCATTTGCCACGTAATGTTCTATTGCTTCTACTACTTGTGTCAAGCAAACCATTTTGTTGTAATCCCATTATTATTCGGTATGCTTGATTGCTTGTAAAATCAATTAGTTCTGCCGATAGACCCGGTAAACATTCTGATTTGGTAAAACAATTCGTTCGTAAACGCCACTGTCTCCATCCTTCCTGGGCATCACGCTAGTACCAACAGATCCCTATGTAACTTAAGTTGCAACCGAGAATTCTTGACTAGATGATCATCGCAATGAGGCTGGACCTTACCGCGGTGCGATGGTTTGTGTGCCTCATCCATTGAGCTATGCTGGGTGGTGCTTTTGCACCTTCAGAGTCACACACCAGATTTCTCAATGGTTAGAGGCCAGACAAACTCAGCCTCCTGGTCCTCCAGGTTGGGGGTTGGAATGACGTGGCACCTTTTTCCTTAAAACGGACTCCTTGTGGCCCAACGCCAAACCCGCTACCTTGCGGTAAGGTTTTTGAACCAAAGGCTTTGGTTGAGAACCCTAATCGTTCTGCTGTCTGGGCCTGGGCAACCTGATAGTATTCTGCCCACGCAATACAATGAATCTCTCTTCAAATAAATTTCTGATGGATATTGGCAAATGCTGGCATTTCGTATTGTCTCGTCAGTACCAATGCAATAACAGAGAAATCCTTTTATATGACTTACAGGGCACAGTCAAGCCAATCAAATTTATGGTTGTGGTCATTGTTGTTGGGATTAGATCCACGGCAACCGCAGGTTGACAACTAAATGCTTTTGGACACACAAAGCTGGTCTAATTCGGCTTATCGCGACGGCCTCGGCAAATCTTAAAAGGCATGCATTAGTATGACGTAACAAGATCCGGAACATCTTCGTCATCCTTCACAAATTGACTGGCACCCATGAAAGCAAGATTCGTGAGAAGCAAGCCGATTTTCGTCAAGGTTGAGGCCGCGTCAGCCACATCTTCATTTTACGTCAACTGTTGGCGCACCGTCACAAATATTGGCGGCCCAGTATCGTCGTGTTCCTCGATATCAAAGATGTCTTCGATTCGGTGGATCGATGTGCCCTTTGAGACTCTGCTCAAGAGTGGTGTTCCCGAGAAATATGTAAACATTATCTGAGCGCTTTACGCGCATAGCTCGGGCAAAAGGTGGGTTTACGGCTAGCTTTCGCTGCCCTTCAATATTTCCAGCGGTATGAAATTAGGATGCCCTTTGTCACACTTCCTCTTCAACTTCGCTGTTGATGAATTCAGTTCGATCACGTTCATAGGACACTATTTAGAAGCAATGAATCTACTCACCGATGGAGGACTCTTGCCTTGGTGTGTGCTGATAACATCGCTTTCATCTGTGACAGCTAACAAATACGCCAAGCTGCACTGGATAGATTAGCGCTGGCTGTCAGCCGATTCGGGTTTTGCTTTGAACTTTTAAAGTGCAAAGCTTTCCCCAAGCTTGACAGCGACCGAATCCTGCGCTGACCCTTGGTGAGGACCAGCTAGAAGTCGCTCAGGAATTCAAATACCTAGGCAGTTGTATCAGCGTCTATGGAATTGAAGTCGAATTCACGAACCATATAGCGAAAGCTCAAGGTGCTTTTGCTAACCGTTGCCATCTATGGCGCCGGCGCATCACTGTCTCCTTGAAGGGTAGAAGTTACATTGTAGCCATAGGATCGAATCTACTGTACGCTTGTGAAACTTGGCGTTTTAGATCGTCAGACTTAAAGAGACTACTTACATTCGACCACCGAGGCCTACGCAGTTGGGCTCATAGCTGGTTGGAACACCGTGTGAGCAATGCGTGTTCAGCGCCTCGCTTATGCCACAGTAAGAGGAAATGAAACGCACCACCGTTATTTCAACCATTATACTTTGATGGTTGGGCCACATATTGCGGATGCCAGTATACCGACTCCCGCGTCATGCGTTGTTCCCGCGTCTAGGGTATGAGTAAAAGAAGAG